GGGGGGGGCTATTTTTTGCATTTTTGTCTTCAACTATGACACTTAAACACTCAACATGTTGCCTAAACCCAGAAAACAATATGGTTACACACAAATGAAATGCCCAGGATGATCCTGAGCAGACTAATAATGTGGGGTGGGGAGAGGGCTGGGTTTTGTGCGGGGGACTGAAGGAGGGTGCATAGGCGTGATTTAAAAAAAAAAAATGTTTCCATTGATTTTAGAGAGAGAGGAAGGGAGAGGGCAAGAGAGACAGAAACATCGGTGTTTTGAGAGAAACCTCCACTGGCTGCCTCCTGCACGCCCCCGATGGGGACTGAGCCTGTAACCTGGGCATGTGCCTGACCAGGAATCAAACCCGGACCTTTTGCTGCAAGAGGCAATGCTCCACCAACTGAGCCACACCGCCAGGGCCAAAGAAGTGACCTTCATGACGACTCAAGGCCTTTCCACTGGGGAAACAGGGAGAGGGCCTCAGGGCCACAGGCAGGCCTGGGGCGGGTGGTCAGCACCCTGAGGCCAGGGGAGCTTTGGAGACAAAGGGCGAGAATCCATCCCTCGCATCTCACTCCTGTCTTCCAATAGCTTTGGACCTGGAGGCCAGTGAATTTGATTTTTTTATGAAGTTATTTCTTTAGAACATACTTTTGCTTGTTTTCTAAAGAAGGCACAGCGACGTGGAATTCCACATGGTGTGAAGTTTCCCACGTGAGCAGGAGGCAGGGAAGAGGCGCAGATGGATGGACCAGGTCCGTCATCAGGGCCAGCACGCTCACTGCTTTCCGTGAGGATCGGCTCTGCCACGAGTGAGGGAAAGAATTTCAGGGAAACAGGCATCTCCCGTCCGCACAGGAGCGCCCCAAGCCTGGCGTCCGTCTTGCTTGAAACTGAGCGCAACATGGCGTCTCCTTGTCATGCTGATGTATCAACCCCCAGCTCGCACAGCAGCCCCTCCTGTCTCCCGCGTTTCCAGGGAGACTGAGAGCTCCTTGCTGCCCGAGAGAGCCTTTCATACTTAAAAAAAGTGTTTTTATTGATTTTAGAGAGGACGGGAGAGGGAGAGAAACATCAAGGGGAGAGAAACATCCATCAGCGGCCTCCCGCACGCCCCCTGCTGGGGATGGAGCCTGTAACCCGGGCCTGTGCCCCGACCGGGAATCAACCCGGCGACCTCTGGGCGCACTGGATGCTGCTCAACCCACTGAGCCACACGGGCCAGGGCTTCAGGCTTTTCTACCTGCAGTAACTCCGGGCACAGTGACTGCTGGACTCCACCTTCCCTGTGCTGGTCGCTCACAGTCAGTTTCAGGTGCCCTGAGCCCGCTGTGCTCAGCTTGACTTGGCATTTCCTCTGGTTTATCGCTACTTCACCGGGAGCAGCAGGGCAGGAGGCTCAGCACCGAGGCTGCAATTTCAATGTGAGAAAGGTCGGCCCTGCCCGGTGCCCGCCGTTCCCCCCAGAGCTCTGCTGGCTCATTTCAGCTTCTCGGGGAGCAGTTAAATGAACGCAGGTGACTCTTACTTGGGAAAAACCTCCCCCCAAACAGTTCCCGCTGTGTGACCTCCACAGTTCATTTAAATAAATTATGATCTTCTTGTGCTCTGACCTTATCAATATTTCATAGTTAAACGCAGGCGCCACTCTTCACCGTGAGCACCGGGACTTCTACAGGGAGGTTTTACTTTTTTCATTCGTTACATAGCTTTTCAAATCTTCCTTAACGTGTATTTTACGATCTATCAAGAAGTCACGCTGTCCTTTAAATGTGTCAGCATTAATTAGCAGAATTTACATCTTAATCTAGTCAGCAATAAAACAAGTTATATGGCGTTTTAAGAGCCAATATGTTACCCGTATAAACACATAAGGAAAGTGGACTCTCGCCCCATCTGCACCCCGAGCCCTGCAGGAAGAAAACCAGTCACCAAACAGCGGGTCACAGAAGTAGGTAAACACCTACCAACAGGCAAAACCCCACAAAGCAAAAAGCAATAAACAAATAAATACTGTAACAAGTGCCGCATCCCTTTCACCGACCTGCCTGCTTTATAAAATGCACATAACAGTCACCCAAGAAAACCAAATTGCTGGGTAATGAGTGTGGAAAAGAAACCAAGTTCAAGACCCAGTTTAGCCTAAAGGAAAGGAAGAAATTAAAACCGGGGGACATTTTCCACCAGCTTCTTTTATTTCAAGTATTATTATCAATAACACTTGAACCTTACTGTGTGTGTGGGAAGTTGAAAGTTGCAGGAGTCTCACCATTAGTAAAACTGGTTTACATACAGGGGGTTCCCCAAAACTGCACACACACTGTAACAGCTGACAGCTCAATTTTGAGAATGAAATATATTTTATTTTTATTTTTAATTTAAAAAAAAATATATCTTTATTGATTTCAGAGAGAGCAAAGGAGAGGGAGAGAGAGAGAGAGAGAAACATCAATGATGAGAGTCACCGATCGGCCGCCTCCTGCCAGCCCGCGACTGGGGATCAAGCCTGCAACCCGGGCCTGTGCCCTGACCAGGAATCGAACCCCGATCGCCTGGATCCTAGGTGGACACTCAACCGCTGAGCCACGCCTGGCCGGGCTGAAATACATTTCAATAAACACTGCCTTTACAATGATTCAAAGTGTGTGTGTACATTTTTGGGGACACCTTATATATAGTCAGTAGTGAATGACCCTAGTTAGGTTTATAGACATAATATGAACAGACTTTTGATTCAAATACATGTCAATTTCAATCACCCTTTTCCCATCCTAAGTGAAACATTTAAAAATACTTTCACTTTAAATCAGTTGCTCTGTCTCCAGTATCGCTTAGGACCAGGGTGGCCTGAATATCATCAGTTTAGACACACACCCGAAGGAGTTCTGGGGAAAGCCGTGGCTACCTGTAGCCTTAGGCCCGGGGGAAACTGTCCGAGTTGCTTTGAGAGCCGCACTTCTGCTCTGCGCTCCTACCTGCAGACGTCGTCACGATCTCGGTGGTGTTTCTGAGGCCCATAAAGTCAAACTGATAAAGCCGCCAGGACTTCTGATTGGCCGTCTCCACTGAGTTTTTCCTCCATCTGTAAATCATCTCCTCCTTGGGGTAGCCATCTGAAAACACGAACAAGTGTGAACACCAGGGGATGTAAGTTTACAAAACATTAAAGTCAAAATTATAATTCTGATCACTTAGCAGATTAAAAGCTTAAGCCCTATTTGCTCTCAGAACCTTCCTGAGCGCACAGAAACTCCAGAAACGAATGGGCAAAGGCCACCTAACTGGGGGGATCCTGCTGAAGATCTCCACGGCCAGCAGGATGCTCCCAGCCAGTGGCCCGGCCCCCGTCTGTGCCTCCAGCACACAGGTGGCCGCTGTCGTGGTTTCTTCCACCTTGAAGCGCCCAGGCTGTCGTCGACCTTCCAAGACTGGAGGTCAGGGTCCCCCGAGCTCTCAGACACTGAGCTCCACCTGCCGGGCCCACGTCCATCCGCTGCGCCCTACATTCCTTCCGCAGGACGAGACCCCGAGGCCTCAGGAAAGACGGATTTAATAAGGCGGCAGCTCTGAGACTCAGGCCACCTGGCGCGGTCCTGCCTCTCCCCACGCTGCTAAGGACGCCAGGAAGCAAGACGCTCTCTCCTCTGCATTTACGGTTAAGTCATCCTTCCTTAACACAGGCGCAGGTAGGTATTTCCAAAATTTAACTATAATCGTTTCATGGTTTTATTTTTATGTCTAATTGGTTAGTCACCCTGGAATTATTTTGGCCAAGACTTTGCTCCTTGAGTGTGAATTCTGTGTGTGTGTGTGTGTGTCCCTGTGTGCCTGCAAATACCACTGGTTGTCAAATTTTAAAGAGAAAAATACCCTGCGGTCATATTCTATTATTTTTAATTTTTATTTATGTTTTTAGAGAGAGAGGGAGGGAGAGGGAGAGAGAGAAACAATTGGCTGCCTCCTGCACACCCCCTACCGGGGATCGAGCCAGCAACCTGGGCATGCGCCCCGAGCGGGAATCGAACCAGCGACCTCTCGGTGCCCAACCCACTGAGCCACCCCGGCCAGGGCCCCAACAACTATACTCTACGTTCAGATAACATTTTCCCTTGTAAAGAACTTCAGCCTGCAGGTTTTAATTCTCAAAGACAGGAGTATTTTCCTCTGTTTTTCATAATTTCAAATTTCCTTTCAAAACAATTTAGGTCCCACAGAAGCAGGTCCAGTGGACAGACAGGGAATTCTACCAAACCTCTGATAATCAGATGCTGTCGGTGTTCTTTAAACCAGTCCAGACAGCAGAAAACAAGGTAAAACTGTCCAATTATTTTTATATAGTAGGCATCACATGATATACAGCCTAGCAATGAATGCACAGGAAAGTAAATCTCTTACAAATACTGATGCAAAACCTCACATAAAGTCTTAGTTAACGGAATTGATGAGCAGAATATTTTAATACATTACGGCCTAATGCGATTTACAGAAATGAGAGCGTGGAAAGTCATGAATATAATCCATCACAGGCCCACTCCACAGAAAGCGAAGCCATTTCGTAAAACCCAGGAATACATTTGTGTTAAAAACATTCAGTAAATTAGAAATTAAAGACTTCCCTCTATCTAGTGTGTATTTTCCTAAAAGCCAGTAACTCAGTAGGAAAACATTAGGGGCTTTCCTTTCTTTTTAAAATTGAAAGCAAGTAAATACCTGTTACTTCCTCTTTTATTCATCATTTTATTGGGGACATTAGCCAGCTTACTTCTAGAAAAATACACACATAGACACCTAGGGGCATGAACATTAGAAAGAAAGGTAAGTTTTTGCACCTAGAAGACACAAAAGACTCAATGAAAACAAATACAATATTATTTTTAAATTATCACAAAACACGCAGCACAAACTTAACAAAAACGCGCGAGTCCTGAAAGAGGGAGTTTGCAAGTTACCACCGAGCCGAAGCAGGCGGAGCCCAGGGGGAGACAGGCCATGTGCTCGCCCAGGAGGCTCCGCAGCCCAAGGCGGGGCCTTACCTGGGGCCCTTACCCGGGGCCCTTGCCCGGGGCCCTTACCCGGGCCCGTGCGGGCGGCAAAGTGACCCGGACGGGTGCCCTCGGCGCCTTTTCCGTTTCGGAGGTGGTTACACACAGTCCTTGGTAGGGCGACGAACTGAGAACGACCAGAAGCGCAACGGGGGGTAGATTTCCTTAGGTTATTAAATAGAAAGCTAGACCCAGCGATTCCGCACTGATGTGTGACCGGCCGAGGGGACGGGACAGGAGCACATCTCCTTGGAATCAGTGCACAGACGGTGGAGCAACTTAACTCAGCCAGAGGACGGGGTGTGACTTGTGGAAGCCACGAGGAAAGGCAAAGTTAGGTCCAATCCTCCAGCACACGCCGGGCTGCATCCCAACGAGTCCGAGCGCGAAACCTGAGAAAATTCGGCCACAACTTCGGATTCGGGAAAACTTTCCTAACAATGGATCAAAGCCCAGAAGCAAAGAGACACAGAGACACACACACAGACACACACAACACACACAGACACACAACACACACACACACAACACACACAGACACACAAACACACACAGACACACAACACACACAGACATCACACGCACACACAGACACACAACACACACACAGAGACACATACAACACACACAGACACACAACACACACAACACACAGACACACACACAACACACAGAGACACATACAACACACACAGACACACAACACACACAGACACACAACACACACACACAGAGACACATACAACACACACACAGACACACACAACACACACAGACACACACACACAACACACACAGACACACAAACACACAGACACACAACACACACACACAACATACACAGACACACACACACAACACACACAGACACACAAACACACACAGACACACAACACACAGACATCACACACACAGACACACACACACAGACACATACAACACACAGACACACACACAACACAGACACACAACACAGACATCACACAGACACACACAGACACACAAACACACAACACACACAGAGACACATACAACACACACACACAACACACACACACAACACACACAGACACACAAAGACACATAACACACAACACAGACACACACAACAGACACACAGACACACAACACACAGACACACACAACACACACAACACAGACACATAACAGACACACACAACACACAGACACATATAACACAGACACACATAGACGCGCACACAGCACATTTCTAAAATTGGCTACACACAATGATTTAAAGCAGGACCAAAAAGTATTCAGTAAGGAAAGTAAAAATGACAAGTGATGAACTGGGGAAAATGTAGTTAACACAGCACAGAAAAGGGCGAATCCCACAAGAAAGAACGACTTATAAAAATGAGGAAGAGCCCAGAGCTCCAGCAGTCAAAGCTACGCGCAAACAGCCTCTACCAAAAATGAACCCCGAGCTGATGAGAAGGCGCCGGGCCTCCCTCCTGATGAGAGGCTCGCAGGCGCCGGGCCTCAGGAACTTACGCTCGGGTTTGAGAAAAGGCAGGAGGCACTTTTCCTGCTTGTCCTGCGCCGGCCGAACCTCGCCAGGCAGCGAAAGAAAAATATCACATGATCTCGCTTATACGTGGAATCTAAAGAACTTAATAAACTGACGAGCAGAATAGATTCAGTGACATGGAAGCGTAGAGGAGACTGAGGAATGTCAGACGGATGGAGGGTGGAGGGGGAGAGAGTAACCAAGGAATTTATGTGCCTATATGCACAGCCCAAGGACACGGACAATGGTGGGGAGAGGGACTGGGGGGGAAGGAACGGGGGGGATGGGTCATTGGGGAGAAAAAGGGACATCTGTAATATTTTAAACAAAAATAAAAATTATAAAAAACAAGCAAACAAACAAAAAACGAACATTCATTAGGGAAGGTTCTTCTGGCGGACGAACCGCAGCGAACAAATGCGGGGGGTGACTGTGATTAAAACAAGGCTCCGCGGTGCGGGTGGAGCTGGTCTGACAGCAGGACAGGCAGGACAGCGGACAGCAGGGTCCTCCCGTCGGCGAGGCCGGTCGCCCAGGCTGCCTGCAAGTGTCTTGTCAGGGGAGCCGAACCTGACGCGGGCCCAGGCCCTGGGGCGATTCACGGGAAACGGGGGGCTACACGCAGCCGCCGGAGCTGGATCAGCCCGATGTCGGATGCGGGCGACTCGCCAGGCGGCCTGGCCTCGTTTCTGCCCAAATAAACCGGGCGCGCTAAGGGACTGAAGGAGACGCGCGAGGAACGGCACCCGGGCGCACTGTGATGCCCTGACGCGGCGGGTCAGGCGGGAGGGGACGGCGGGAGACACCGGCCACGGGCGGGGCGCTCCTGACACCGAGGAATCAGCGTCAGCCCCGGCACTGATGACACGTCTGCCCCAGGCATCTGCAGGAGACTCCCTATGACGT